AATTTTGCTTTGTTTGGTTACTGATTAATTTATGTGGTGTGAGTTTAGTTTTTCCTTTTCTGCCTATGTATGTATTATTCGAAATGGACCGTTCAATTTGCTATATGTAAATTTGTAATCGAAAAGCTCGAAAAAGAGGTGAATCAGAAACAATGGTGGTAGAGTGATGGAGTTGAGGAGTTGGGAGTTTACGGGATTTACTTGAATTATTGTATGATGTCCCTGGCATGTTAGATCATTGAGACTAACTGTCTGGTTGATTAATCACTAATTTGAAATATTTAAAGTGTAACTTTTCTTTAATTCCTTTTCCATTTGTATTTTCATTGGAGTGCAGATAAAAGATTTTTCTTTTATCTTTTCAACCACAAACTTTCCGAAGTCTTCTGAGAGTGGTCCAACTAGAGAATTGGATGACAAGTTTAGGTTTAATATATACTTGAGTTCCCACAAGGAAGATGGTATTTTAGAAGTTAACAAATTGTACCCTAACGATAGACTTCTTAGAGATACTGCTACAGTACCCAAGCAGGAAGGAATAGAACCAGATAGACGATTACCACCCAAAAGTAAATCGGCTAGGTTGTTTAGTTGACAGAGCTCATACGGGATATGTCCTCCCAGTTCGTTATCATTCAAATACAAACCTTGGAGATTTTGTAGCCTTTGTTTGTATTGAAGTTGGACTTGCTCCGCTCAACTAATTATTTCCCAGGCTTAAATATATCAAGTTGCTGAAGTTACCAATATCTATGGGAATGTTACCCTTGATGTTGGAAATGCTTAAATCAATAGTTAGGAGTGATGTAGAGACTACAACACTTTGGGTATTTTACGACTTGAAATATACGGCGTACAGACGGGCATGCCTTAAATGATATTATTCATGACATTCATAAAGTTCATGTTGTAATACTTGCGCATAATCTCGCATTTACGACATCACTTTTATGCAAGTTGTTAAATAAAAATATTTACGGCTTAAGCATTGTGTCTCGTATTTGACAATTTATACGACGCACTTTCCTTCTCTTTTAAAACTTCGTGTTATGTTGTAAAGTGAATTTTCTATATATTTGAGTCCCTACATTTTATGGCACGAATAACACTTGTAAATAATGGCGTTTACCTTCCCGCCCAAATTTCCCACCCCGCGCGTTCTTTTATTTTTCTTGAATCAAGATCTCACGGTTTCCCTAGCAGCCCTTTATTTTTCTTTAATAAATGAGGAATCGGTACCCGGCCTGGACCGTTGATTTCAGATCCAAATCATGATATTCAATCTACACCTTTCATTTACCACACATATCTCAGGTTCTGAAGGTTCTGTCTGTCTTTCTTTGCCTCTCTCACGCAGCCTCTCTCTCGACTTTCACTCTCTTAGATTCGTATCTCCCAATCCCAGCGGCCTCGATTTCTCTCTCGTCTCCAACCATGGTGCCACCATCATCTCTTGTCAACTCTTGACTCTCTCCCACTCTCGACTCTTTTCCACCACCTGCACTTGACGGTCCTGACTTCTGACCACCATCTGTGTTCTAAATAAGGTGTGCAGTTAGGGATTTAAGATTGTAATAAATTGGGGTTTTCTAGATTTAGGGATTTGAATTTGAATTTAGGGATTTGGATTTGGTCAATTCTGGAATCAAATGTTAATTATAATTTGTTTAATTTTTGGCAATTTGAGTGCAAAATTAGGGTTTATTTATTTATTTTATGTGTTGACAGTAAGACCCTTTGTCAATTAGTAACCACACCTACTTCAATTGTTGGGGCTTGTTTCTTCTCCAGTATATTTTAGTCTTTTAACTTTTGGTCTACTTGGGACCTCTTTGTAAATGGTGTCTGAACTCCTTGACACCAGGAAATTCTTGACCAACATGGCTAATGTAGTTTCTCCACGTATGGGACAAATATGTCTTCCCATGAGAAGTAACAAACTTCCCTAAATTTGCACGATCATCTGAGGGTTTTATGCCTTCATATGTAAAAATATGTTTATCATGTGGGGAAGAAATGAGATCAAGTTGCTTAACTGATTCAACCATGGAAACACTGACAAGAATAGATGCTATGTTGTTAGCACAATATGAAAATTTCATTACACTCACATCCATGTCAGATTGCAGCAAACAAGATTGGTGTTCTGCTAGAAAGTACGTCAACTCCATGACTTCAGAACTTAATCCCACAAATCGGGAACAAATTTGTTCCCTTGAACTTAGTATGATTAAATACTGGAATTAAAAGGGTCTTGCTCTCAAAAGTGCACATCGCAATGATAGCTCCTTCCATAACTAAACAATTATAAATAAAACATAGGAAAAAAACATAAATGTAATAGGTTGAAAAAGATATAACTATGAAAGTCATGAATAACTATTTAAGGATTCTGCAATATATATAACTGGTTATCCTTCCATAACTAAACAATTATATAACTATTTAAATCTATCTCGTTGGACAAATCCAGGATTTTGCATGAAAATTCAATTGGGTTTGTTCTGGTCTCCAAGAATTTTGCTTTGTTTGGTTACTGGTTAATTTATGTGGTGTGAGTTTAGTTTTTCCTCTTCTGCCTATGTATGTATTATTCGAAATGGACCGTTCAATTTGCTATATATAAATTAGTAATCGAAAAGCTCGAACAAGAGGTGACTCAGAAACAGTGGTGGTAGAGTGATGGAGTTGAGGAGTTGGGAGTTTATGGGATTTACTTGAATTTTTGTATGATGTCCCTGGTATGTTAGATCATTAAGATTAACTGTCTGGTTGATTAATCACTAATTTGAAATATTTAAAATGTAACTTTTCTTTAATTCTTTTTCCTTTTGTATTTTCATTGGAGTGCAGATAAAAAAAAATTCTTTTATCTTTTCAACCACAAACTTTCTGATGTCTTCTGAGAGTGGTCCAACTAGAGAATTGGATGACAAGTTTAGGTTTAATATATACTTGAGTTCCCACAAGGAAGATGGTATTTAGAAGTTAACAAATTGTACCCTATCGATAGACTTCTTAGAGATACTGCTACAGTACCCAAGCAAGAAGGAATAGAACCAGATAGACGATTACCACCCAAAAGTAAATCGGCTAGGTTTTTTAGTTGACAGAGTTCATACGAGATATGTTCTCCCAGTCCGTTATCATTCAAATACAAACCTTGGAGATTTTGTAGCCTTTGTATTGAAGTTGGAATTGCTCTGCTCAACTGATTATTTCCTAGGCTTAAATCTATCAAGTTGCTGAAGTTACCAATATCAATGGGAATGTTACCCTTGGCTTTCACTCTCTCTCTGCCTCTCAACTGGTTATTTCTCAGGTTCTGAAGGTTATGTATGTCTCTCTCTGCCTCTCTCACGCAGTCTCTCTCTCGACTTTCACTCTCTCAGATTCGTATCTCCCAATCCCAGCGGCCTCGATTTCTCTCTCGTCACCAACCACGGTACCACCATCATCTCCTGTCAACTCTTGACTCTCTTCCACCACATGCACTTGACAGTCCTGACTCCTGACCACCATCTACGTTCCAAATAAGGTATGCAGTTAGGGATTTAAGATTGAAATAAATTGGGGTTTTCTAGATTTAGGGATTTGGATTTGGTCAATTCTGGAATCAAATGTTAATTATAATTTGTTTAATTTTTGGCAATTTGAGTGCAAAATTAGGGTTTTTTTTTAATTTTTTTTATTTCAAGTGCTGACAGTAAGACCCTTTGTCAATTAGTAACCAATTAGTAACCACTCAGTGCTTGTTTTAGACCTGTCACCGAATACAAAATCACGGCTTTTAATTTTCATTTTGCAAGTCATCATAAGGAATAGATAATTCTAGAATTATAGTGTAAACTCTTGATTTTCATTTTCAAACTTGATTCTATTTCAGAATTCTGAAGAGTTTTCATTATGGTGTTGGGGATTTGTTAATTTTGCTCTCTCTCTCTCTCTCTCTCTCTCTCTCTCTCTCTCTCTCTCTCTCTGTGATTTGGTTGGGATTGCAGAGTGACTTGGGTTTCTTTGTATGCATGTCCCGGACCTCCAGGTCACATGGGGTACTCAGCAAGGTTCTACTTTTGCAAAGAAGATGGAGATGTTACAGACTTACAATGATACTGCAATCCAAATAATCTGTTTTGAAAATCCAAATAATCTGTGAGTATGTTGTAGTAGTAGAATAACACTGTGGGGCTTAGCCTAGTACTTAAATTATTGACTTTGTTGCTTAGCCTAGTACTCTGTGAGTCTGTATAGTAGTAGTGTAGTACTTTATTTAGTTTGTACTATTGGATAAAAATGATAATTTGATTGAGTATATATCATATTATACAATTCCAATGTAGTCTAACATGATTCGATTTGCACCAGATATGGAGTGTTTCAAAGAAAAGGGTACATTTGATCGGGAGAAATACCAATGAAGGATTTGACAGGGTAAGTTCTTCCTCTGCTCAAGAACAAAAGCAAATTACAGCAACCATTTATTTCTATTAGACATATATTGGATATTTCAAATGTCTTATAACCAGAAACACATGGCTTCTGATAACGTTAGTTAAACACTTCTTCTTTTGCCCATTCTGTGTTGTGTGTTCACGCGTCTGTTTTTCTCTTGCACGTTGGTTTACGGCAAATACATGCTAACTATTACCATTCCCAAGCCGATGCTGTAAGATCCTTTACATATTTCAGAATGAATGATAAGATCTTTAGGGCTGAAAATTGGACTAACTTCATTCCTTTTGTTAAAAAGACGAGCACAAATTGGTGAAGCAGCCAAAAAACCTAACTTAAATAGTAAATTTATTGATCTAGAGTAGCAGCCTCACTGCCCTATAATTTTTTGTCAAGGGCATGTGTAGAAGTTTAGAAGTTTGTAACTTCCTGATATATTGACTGAAATAACATTGTGCTCCCATGCCCTATATCTTGACCTAGAAGTGTAAATTTTTGAAACGGATTTGATTGGCCGTAAAAACTGAACGCTTTATACCACTAAAATATAGGAAGAATAACTGGAATTGCAATCTTGGTACTACTGGTCTCATTGCCTTGTCAAATACAGGTGCGGCAATTCAATTTTAGGAATATCGTCATATTTTCATATCCGTCACTATAAGAAAATAATGTAGTTTTTGAAGATTGAAAACAACAATAAGAAAATGGATCCGAAAATATAGAGAACAAAGAACTAAGAATTCACTCCTCCAGAGTCCTTCAAATACTTGGTCTTGATTTTATTGAGTGTGACTGCGGCATCTTTCATGTTAATCCTCTCTTCCGGCAATGCTGCACAGCAAGCTAAAGCTAATCTCATAACGGATGATAAGCAATCCCTCCTGCTGACGAAATCACCATCTTCCTCCGTCCCAAGTATATCGGCATCCACAACTTCATCTATAGCAGAATCAGGAAATAATGAATTTTCAATCCATTGCTTTAAATTCATTTCCCCAACAAACATCTCATCTGTTGGCTTCCTTTTTGTAAATGTCTCCATGAGTACAATACCAAAACTATACACATCCCCTTTCGTCGAAACAATTCCCCTCATCCCATACTCTGCAAAATTTGTATGTGAATTTAGTTATATATGATAAAAATAAATTATAACTCATAATTAAGACAAACATTTACAAAGTTGAAAAATACATCACCTGGCGCCATATATCCAACTGTGGCTAGGGTTATGGTTTCCGTCATCGAATCACCACCGCCGATAAGTCTTGCAATGCCAAAATCAGCAACATGTGCAATCATATCATCATCTAGTAGTATATTGCTTGGTTTCACATCACAATGAACGATAGGCATCGAGTAACCATGATGAAGATATTCTAGTGCCAGTGCAACATCTTTCATTATGTCCAACCTCTGCAGGATATTCATGGAACGGTTTGGAGAATACAACCACTTTTCGAGGCTTCCATTAGGCATCAATTGAAGTATCAGGGCTTTGAAATCGAGTTCATCGCAGCAGCTTATGATTTTAATAAGATTCCGATGACGGATATTGCTTAGCATTTCACATTCCTTATCAAAACTCTTGAATGCCCCTTCTAGCTGTAAATTGAAAACCTTGACGGCGATATCTATCCCATCTGAAAGTGTTCCTTGGTATACTGAGCCAAAACCTCCCGTGCCTAGTAAGTTACTCTCATGAAGTCCATTTGTCGCTTTTACAAGTTCTTGGTGCGAAACTCTTCTCCAAGGAACTTGACGTAGCGAGGCAGTTTCTCGTACAACTTCGACATTCCTTTTCCTGCGTAGTATCAGAATCAATGCAGCGGCCACTAGGAGTATTACTAAAATGACCCCTGAGATGATATATTCAGCTTTCCTCCACTTTGGCTTAACTTTTGTTCCATATTTGCACATTGGAACATGGAGTCGGGAAGCACCGCAAAGCGCACCGTTTGATGCAAATGAATCAGCATAGAAGTTTTCGAAAGGCCCGCCTGTTGGAATTTCTCCTTGGAGTTTGTTGAATGACAAATTCAGATGCTTGAGAGACAAGAGTGCTTCCAATGACTTTGGGATCTCTCCAGATAGATTGTTTTTGGACAAATCCAAGAATTCTAGGCTTAGTAGGGTTTTAAATGAACTGGGAATAAGGCCTTCTAAATTATTGCTTGCCAAGGAGAAATTAATCATATGGAGAAGACCCCCAATGCTACCGGGAATGTTTCCGGAGAAATGGTTATTTGATAAATCCATATCCACCACCCCCTTCAACTTCCCGATATCTTCGGAGAGTTGTCCAACTAGAGAATTGGACGACAAGTTTAGGTACAATATAAACTTTAGTTCCCACAAGCAGGAAGGAATAGAACCAGAGAGCCGATTACCACCCAAACGTAACTTGGCTAGGTTGTCTAGTTGACAGAGTTCATACGGGATATGTGCTTGCAGTTCGTTATCATTCAAATACAAACCTTGGAGATTTTGTAGCCTCTGTATTGAAGTTGGAATTGCTCCACTCAACTGATTGCTTTCCAACTTTAACGCTATCAAGCTGCTCAAGTTGCCAATATCAACGGGAATGTTACCCCTGATGTTGGAAAAGCTTAAATCAACATATAGGAGTGACATAGAGAGATTCGAAGCTGGAATCGTGGTGTTCAATGGATTATCTCCCAAGTGTAATCTTATCAAATTTCTAAGATTAAACAAGCAAGAGAGGGTGCTTGCTGCTTGTGGAGTTGAAACATCAATCGTCAAATTATTCGAGTACAAGAGAAGACACTCAAGGTTTTTCAAGGAACAAAGCGTGCTAGGAAGAAACCCGGTAAATGAGTTTACACTCATGTCTAGCTCCCAGAGCTTGGAAGCATTGGAGAGGTTAGGGAGTAGCCCGACCACGAGGTTATTTCTGGCTACACGAAGGATTTCTAGGTTTGGAACGTTAAGACCTATGTTTGCTGGGAGGCCACCTGATAGCTGATTAAAAGAAAGCGATATTTCTCTTATCATGGAGTTATTGAAGAGTTTGGATGGGATGATGCCATTGAGATTATTAAAACCTAGCGACAAAGCCTCTAACTGTGGAAGATCACCAATCTCTTCCGGTATTGTACCTGTCATAATTTCAGCACATTTATGTCCACTTTAGAACTTCAGTTTAACTAAAAACTAAAAACGAAATGATTATCAAACAGTCCCAAATTAGTTACCTGTTAAATTATTTTCTTCAAGAAGAATCGTGGTTAAGTAGGTCAAATTGCCAAGACTTTTGGGTATGCTTCCGCGGAAATTGTTTGACGCTAATGAGAATATACGAAGCTCTTTGCATTGCCACAGTTTGGAGGGAATTAGACCGTCAAGCTTGTTTTGAGTCAAATAGAATTGTCGAATACTTGAAAGATGGTCACACATATTGTCCGGAAGACTACCACTCATGTTGTTTCCTTGTAGATTGAAAGCAGTCAAAGAAGATATGTTGAGGACAGGCACAAAAGCAGAGCCTTTTAGGGCATTGTCCTGCACAAACAACTCCTCCAGCCGACCTAAACTGCCTATCTCGTTCGGAAGTTCTATAAAATCAATCCGTGTATATTGTTAAAATCATGTATACATATACAGGAGCAGCTTCTTAGTGGGAATCCTGTTGTACCGTAGCAAAAGTGGGATACATTCTAAGGACCATGTACTCACTATATAGGACCTTTTTTTTACTCTAGAATACGAGGGTCTTACACGGTAGATATACGATCCTACAATAGTCCTCTCATCTCATTTTTTGCTGAAGTTGAACAAGATCCCAGCTAAGAAGAGGCTATATATATATATGTATGTATGTATGTATGAATGTATGTATGTATGTAACAATAAGTCATGTAGTATACCTTCGAACTTGTTGTCGTCAAGGTATATGCCCTTCACCATTGTTAAGTTGCCTATTTCTCTGGGTATGCTACCTGTTAAATATGTGCATCCATTCCAACAAAAAAGAAAGAAAAAAAAAGAGATGATTGTTATACATCTTATATAATGAAATCATGAAGCAAACCACGATGTTAAAATGAAACAAAGACGTTAAAATGTAATCATGAAGCAATCAACATTAATTTATATTCCTAGGTGGTTGGTAATGGTGGTACGTACGTACCTGATAGTTGGTTCCTGCTCAGATTAATTATTTCGAGTGCAGATAAGTTGAAGATAGCAGCGGGTATGGAACCAGAGAAGTCATTACCGTACAATTTGATGGTTTGAAGTTTAGGAAAGGACCCAAACCACGAAGGAATGGTTCCCATAAAGTTGTTGTTTCCAAAGTTAATCGCCTTCAACCGGCGCAAACAAGACAGTTCTTGCGGTAGGGGACCATGAAAGCTATTATTCATAAGGCCTAACTCAACGAGAGATGAGAGGTTGCCTAGATGCGGAGCAATAACCCCAGCAAGACCCATGTGCGAGAGATTTAAGGCCGTGACTCTGTGGTGGCGAGCACCGCAGGTAATGCCAACCCAGTTGCAAATGTCGGAATTGGAGGCAGAGGACCAGTTGGCGGTCAAGATGTTTTGAGGGTCACGAGTGATGTGAGCTTTGAGAGCAAGAAGCGCGGACTGATCTGTGCTAAAATTGGTATGAGCTATTGCTAATGCACCTGCAGTTAAGTAATTAGCCATAATCATCATATAGATATAACACAAGCGGTGTATCATCGACAACATTTTTGATAGTACGAAACGACTTCTCTCCTTAATTGTAGTACTTTTCGTCTTTCAGTTTAAATTTATAATCGGTGTTACCAAGACTAGTCAAACGAAGACTAGTCGAACGAAGACGTGTCATGTGGATTTTTTCACATATCAAGCACACACCATTCATTTTTTTATTATAGCTTTCAGGTGGCGTACGCCGTAGGTAACACCTACAAATCGCAACTTGGAAGTGAGCAACCAGTGGTAAGGATGTTTTGGTCTGTGGTGGTGATATTTGGTAATTGGTGCTGCCAGCCGACGAGTTCTGTCCATTTTGTGGGCACAGCTGGAGATGCCCAAATGTGGAATTTTAGTCTTCAGTTCACCATCAAAACAAACAACACCATAAATTTCAAGATTGATATTTAATGATGACATACATTTTGATGGTGGAAAAAACTCCAGCCGCCACAGGCATGAAACAGACATGCATCAAAAGACTTTTAGGTGGAAAAAATATGCATTGGCTGAAATGGAGATAATTAGTATTTAAAATGTTAAATTTTTTTCTTTTTGGCTCACTAATTAGATGCAAAAGTGAGATTGTATGAACAATTTTACACCCATAAACATGAACTACACAAAATCACAACTGATCTAACAATGAGAAAGTATATAAGACAATACACTATCAATAGGCTAAAACACTCTTTTAATTGATCTAACAATAGCCTAATAGGATTAACTAAACCATTAGAGACTACAACAATTAGAAAGTCCGAAGATTGAAGTTCTAGTTGAATATCTTTGAACCCCTAGGTGTTGGACACATTTTCAGTAAATTTGTTCAGGAAAATATAGAAACTCATGATGCAATTCCATCGTCTGGGATAGCACATATTTACCTGGAATCCAACCTTAAGCTAACATTTTTCATAAGTTTATTCTTTTTGTTAACTACAATGGAATTTATAAAACAATTTTAGAAAAACTCGAGTCTAGATAATGGATTATTGTTCTAGTTTAAAAAATTTTGACTTGTGTTCTAAGCAACATAATGTATTCACATTTCAATTGTCAAGGGCATCGCAATAATCCTCGACTGAAGATATTAAAAATCAGAACTTCTTCTCCAAGTTTTCATTTAGTTTATTTCACTTGTCCATAAAATTCAAAGAAGATTAAATAAAGACAATAGCATGCCAAAGATTAAAATCCCTCATTTCAAACTCTGCTAATGCACATCTCTGCTTGGTTTTCTTCTCCAGAGACCAGACTAAGCGAGGAGTCAAGTTCTCCAGTGCACCATCAATCTCCCGTTCGAGCAACCATCACCACCTCACTCGCCACTCCGGCGAGGCACCACCTTGCCACCACCCTCATGTCTCACTCCCTCTCTACCACTCTCCCTATTTCCCTCACCTCTTTCTCTCGATACTATGCTCGCTGGGCGAACTACGCCATCACGAAACCATCACCATTAATCTCGCCACCTAGGCAAGTTTTACCATCCCCGAACCCACCCACTGCAAACTGCTTTCATGCCTTCTAATTTCAATTCTTGCATTTCTTGTATGGTATCCATGTCTTGCGCATTCAAGTACTTATATACCAACTGAGAATAACAATATAAATCCCACACCCACCTCTTTTCCCCACTTGAAAAAATCACCTAAAACCCACATTAACCACCATAGTTTAAGAATCCAAACATGGCTCCAAATTTCAATCTAATTAATTAAATTACGGAGGATTCTACCTACCTCATGAAAACAAATATGTTCAGTTAAAGAAATTCCCTAATCACTGCAGTGCATCTTAAACTACTTCTTAACTATGTTAGCCATACCAAACTAATAAAAAATCCATGTTTCAATAGATTCTTATTAATTCCAAGTCCAAGTATTTCAGCATCTAGATTATAGAAAAATCATAACAAAACAAAACTCAATCTTGGTGCTAAAGCACACTTCGTTAACCTCACCTTCATCAAGTCCATGACTCCTGCCATGAGATCTTTCTCTTAATCAAGTCAATGAATCCTGCCATGAGATCTACCTGTACAACTAATTGTGAATGTCTACATAGATATTTTGGTTAAAATTTTACCACATTCTTGTCGATAAAAAATAGTTATTGGTAATTTTCCCACATGTTAGGTAGTTTAAAACCGTCCCAAAAAGTAATATACATGTACAACTAATTGTGAATGTAAAAATCATATTCTACAAAGATAGGTAGTTTATATTGTAAGCCAAATTGATAGGTAGGATAACAAATATATAGTCTTCACAAATTGCAAAAGCCATATGACATATAAGTAGATAATGGAAAAAAGAAGAATATGAGTAAACTAAAAGGTCGAAGGCATCATTTTATTACATTGATAAAAAAAAAGAAAAAAAAAGCATGTGTTCATATATTTGAAAAAAAATATTCAAATGGCAACGGAGATGTATGTCAAATAAGGGCGTTGCAAGTTTTCCGGTTGTGACGTGTAGCATCACCACACCTACTGCTCTTGTTGGGGCGTGTTTCTTCCCCAATAGATTTTAGTCTTTTAACTTTTGGTCTACTTGGGGGCCTCTTTGTCAATGGTGTCTGAACTCCTTGACACCACCTGGAAATTCTTGACCAATATGGTTAATGTAGTTTCTCCACGCATGGGACAAATATGTCTTCCCATGAGGAGTGGCAAATTTCCCTAAATTTGCACGATCATCTGAGGGTTTTATGCCTTCATATGTAAAAATATGTTTATCATGTGGGGAAGAAATAGGATCAAGTTGCTCAACTGGTTCAACCATGGAAACACTGACAGGAATAGATGCTATGTTTTCAGCACAACATGAAATTTTCATTACACTCACATCCATGTCAGATTGCAGCAAACAAGATTGGTGTTCTCCTAGAGAGTACGTTAACTCCATGACTTCAGGACTTAATCCCACAAATCGGGAACAGATTTGTTCAGCAATGTCCTTGAACTTAGTATGATTAAATACTGGAATTAAAAGGGTCTTGCTCTCAAAAGTGCACATCGCAATGATAGCTCCTTCCATAACTAAACAATTATAAAACACAGGAAAAAAACATAAATGTAATAGGTTGAAAAAAGATATAACTATGAAAGTCATGAATAACTATTTAAGGATTCTGCAATATATATATATATAACTAGTTATCCTTCCATAACTAAACAATTATATAACTATTTAAATCTATCTCGTCTGCCAAATCCAGGATTACAACCCGGCAAACGTTATACATTCTTCCAAGGATATAAATCCAGAATTTAAAGAAACCAGTTTGCAGATCTAATCCCATGAGATCTGTTCATGTTGAAAGGTTAACATATTGAAATATTTATTCCCTGAGAATCGAGAGGACAAGTGAACAACTAGAGGTAGGACAAAAGTTGAATTTGCATTTATAACAGGTTTACGACAAGGGCCGGCATTAAACCCCTTTTGAGTTTTAGCATATTGATGAACTGTCAAATTCCATCATATTCATGCATGCATGATTTGATGATGAAATTATTTTACAACTGGGATTAAATTTAAGTTAGAATTCTAAATGGAAACATTAGAGGCTAAGGATTTGAGTGAACTAAATGTAAATTAGTAATTCTAAGAATAAGATTTCCGATCCTCTGCAGTGTTCAACCATGCAGCTGACTTTCGTTGATAAGTTAAATCTTTAATGATTCAGCATACTGATAGATGCGACCAGTGTAAAATCCCTTATGAAAATTCTTATTGTAGCAAGTAGAAATATGAATAACCTGCGACTTTTCTAAATATAAAAAATAACCTATATGGTATTGTCTGTACCTTGTTCCCTGGTTGTCCTGCTTTCGAAACAGCCTTTCCACCAAAGAATGCCCAAAATCAAGAAAATGAGGAATAATGCTGAAACAACTCCAATCGCAATGAATTTCTTTCTTTTGCTATCATCAGGCGGCTCCAAATCTAGAATAAGTGACAAGGACAGTGACAATAAATAAGAGAACAATAAATCCAGGATTACAACCCCGCAAACGTTATACATTCTTCCAAAGATATAACTATGAAAGTCATGAATATATGGATTACGGGAAATTAAAGAGTACAATTTTCAAAGAGGCATAACATCAAACACCTTCTGTGCATTGGTTTTTATGAATAAAAAGAGAAAGAAGCATATCAATGAGAGATGATAGAAAGGGATTAGGGGGATTAGGATAAAGTCTTCATGTAAAAATTCGCACAGCAAACAACAATAAAGGAGAAAACAATTATAATATATATGACTTGAAAATTAAATGGCATTCAATTTGCTGTGTTTTAGTCCTTTGATAGACGGAGAAGGTTGAGTATCACCAAACCACGAAGGAAAAACACGATCATAAAATTGTAACTGGAGAATTGGTCTCCTGAAGAAATCTGCACCTATAAAACTCATCTAATTTGTATAGAAAGTTAAAAGTGATTAAGCCTTCCTTAAAAATAGATTGATAACAAATTCAAATTCAAAAATTGTTATCAAGAAATTGAGGAGAAAGATGAAGGAAACTTCTGAACAATGAATTTGAATGCCGATAAAAATTTAAAACGTGGGAAATATATGGAGAACGTGCAAAAGCTATAGGAGGATAAAATAGTAATAACAATGCAAAAAAAATCATCCTAATCAGAAAAATTGCTGACATGGAATCCTAGTCATTGGAGCTAAATCAAAAGTAACTAAAAATTGGACTAATCCTAATGTTGGACTATAAAATTGGACCTATTTCAAGTTTCCCTAGTTTTTATCATTTTTCATTAAATTTTAGACCCTTTACATTAAATAAAGTTAGTAGATGATTTTTTGTTAAAATAAATTTAGTCTAAACCCTTTTTTCACTAAAGCTCTCATAAATAATACACTTGCAAACGTGGTCGGTTAATTATCAAGAGGTGATATTCGCATTCACTTTTCTCTCCCACATGCTTAACTTCACAACGATGTTGCAAAAATCTCTTTTTCATAACGTCAAATATTCAGCGGCTGTCTTTGCGTTTCTGTTTGGTCATGTAAAGGTACAAATCTATATTAGAAAGGAGAAGGAAAAAAAAGAACTCCGTGGTACACAAATGAAACCGCATTATTTTACAATAATTCCTAATGAAAAGTTGTTTAGTTTCGTTGACCATTAAACTTGTAACAAACATAACTCAGACAAATTCTATTTAGTCAGACGTCCCACTTAAAGTGCAGAGTCGAACAAATGCAGGCAGTTATGGAAGCTCTCATGGCAACCAACAAAAGACCAGAGAACCGTTTGAGACCAAAATTTTCGCAGCTCAGCAAGACTCTGTTGGAGTTTTGAATGGAAAAAACCATGAGTTTATTTTAATCTGCACTCGTGGATTTTTTTTTTTCTTTTTTGCAGATTTCAAATTATAAGTCTTACACAAGTAGATTTAGCGTATTGAATTAAGTATAGATTAAAAGAGTTTGGTATGGATTAGGATGCAGCCCATAATTAGAGCAATTAAGATAAGGGCTCGGGGACCTTGGGTTCTCAGAATTAATCCAATCTATATATATGTGTGTGTGTGTGTGTGTGTGTACATACATACATACATACATACATACATATATATATATATATTCAGATAACTATGAGTTTGAATTCAAATCAAACGTTACAACTGAAATGATCAGTTATTAATCAAAAAACACAACGGTGAAAGGCAGTTGTTCATTCTCGTCCAAAATGCGTGAACAAGTCCATAAATTTACCAACCCGTTCCATTCAGATTATCAATTTTTTAGGCAACCCAGTTTTCATGTAACATTAATATTTTGGAGAGAAACACTCAGTATGTTTGATACAATCAAAGCCCTAGTGCAAGGACTTTGATTGTGATAGTTGAATCCTGGTGATAGAAGCCTACAAGAACTACTGCAAAAGTGTAGAGGCCAAATTTCTGTCTTGCAAGCCTCTACCATCCATCTGTTAGTAAATTCTTACTCATTTAATATTTTTCATTTTCATTTGCATTATCCTTATTATTATCAGTGGTTTGTAATTTGTAATACTGTTATCAATAAATCATATTTTCTGTTTTGTTTCCAACAGACTCTTTCAAAACCTGGTAGCAGTTTGGCAGGCTTGATCCTTGTTACTCATGCTAAATTGGTGATATTGGGTGCAGAAAGGACGACGGAATAGTTCCCAATTCCCCGAGAAAGCAGTCACCAGCAGGAATGAGAAAAGCTGAAAAGACATAACCATCAAAACGATTTCTTCTCATAAGAAACTAGACCATGAACTCCACCTTCTACTTGTGCTGCTGCTGTTCTTATCTGCACAGTAAAATACATTGTCAACTAATTGAGAAACCATATTAGTTCTTGATACGATCGACCGTCATAACTGTAAAACTTAAGAACTCTCAAGGTTTTACTTCAAGTTTCATACCTCTGCCAAGAGAGGCTGCATGTATTTATATTCATATTCAACTTACATCAGAAAATGAAAACCCTATTTACAATTCATGCAGCACGTGCTGCATGTGCTTGGGGAAATATAAAAACTAATAAGTCCATCCCTATTTACAGTGCATGTTGCACATGCTGAGGGCTTATATAAAACTAACAGTTCCATGACCATCTCCATGCTGCCCGTGCCTTTCTTGTCGAAGGCCACACATGATGTGGAGATAGAAAACTGATATAAAACTTGCAGTCCATACTTCTTGGTTCCCATATTCAAAATCTAGCTCTGCTTGGATAGGAGGCTCGAACTTGGTCTAACAGCCCCCCGCAAGCTGACAGGAGGAGAAACAACTGGAAGCTTGGAAACAAGATGCTTGAACCGTGAGGAGGACAAACCTTTGGTGAAGAGATCAGCAATCTGGTCTTGAGAACATATGAAATTCACAAGTAACTCTTGACGAACCACTTTCTCACGAACATAATGATAGTCTACCTCCAAGTGCTTTGTACGGGAGTGAAACACGGGATTAGACGCGAGGGCAATGGAGGAAACATTGTCACACCAGATGGTTGGTCGATCAAGAAGTAGATGTAGGTCACGAAATAAAGACCGGAACCATGATAATTCTGCAGCAGTATAGGCAAGCTGCCTGTATTCAGCTTCTGAACTTAACCGACTGACAGTTTTGTGCTTTTTAGAACTCCAAGACACGAGATTGGATCCTAAGTAAATGCAGAAACCACCTGTGGAATGCCGTGTATCAGGATTCCCAGCGTAATCAGCGTCAGAATACGCTGTAAGATGTGCAGTACCAGGTGTATACACAAGACCATGGTTGTATGTGGATTTCACATAGTGAAGGATCCGTTTTACTGCCATCCAGTGAGTATTCTTTGGAGATTGCATGAACTGACATACCTGGTTTACTGCATAAGAGAGGTCTGGTCTCGTGATAGTTAGATACTGAAGTGCGCCGACAACACTTCGATACGTCTCAACATCGTCGTGTGGCTCACCATTGTAAGCACTAAGTTTCTGTCCGCAAGAGACTGGAGTGGAAATAGGTTTAGCATCCAAAAATTTTGTACGCTTCAGCAAGTCCACAGCATACTTGGCCTGATTCAAGTGCATTTGATCACCATGATAAGTTACTTCAACACCCAGAAAGTAATGAAGAGACCCCAATTCCTTCATTGAAAACAAAGTTCCCAGTTGATGAATTAAACGGGACATGTGGGGAGTGCTATTCCCTGTCAACAATATATCATCTACATAGATCAATAAAAATCAAGTAGACACCAGAGTGATTGAAAACAAATAAACTGTAATCACACGTAGATGCTTGAAACCCTAATTGAAGCAAAAACTCTGAAAAACGTTGAAACCACGCTCGTGGAGCTTGTTTCAAGCCGTATATACTGCGTTGCAATTTACAAACATGGTTGGGATGCTGCTCATCAATGAAACCTGCAGGTTGTCGCATATATACTTCCTCCTTCAGAAAGCCATGCAGGAAAGCATTTTGTACATCCAATTGCCGGATGTGCCATTTATTTGAAACTGCCAAACTAAGAACAAGGCGTATAGTGCTGTGCTTGACCACAGGGCTAAAGGTCTCGGTGTAATCAAGTCCATGCTGTTGATGAAATCCATTTGCGACTAACCTCGCCTTGTGCCTCTCCAAAGAACCATCCGCTCGTCTTTTGATCTTAAAAACCCATTTATTTGGCAGCACATTCAGTTGTGAATGATAAGGAACAAGCTCCCACGTGCCACATCGTTGTAGTGCATTAAATTCTTGAACCATGGCGTCCCTCCATTTGTGGTGCTTGATTGCCTGACTGAAACATGTGGGTTCAACTAAAGGTTGATCAGTAGAGACATGCAAGGCATATTTAGGATTAGGTTTGTGGATGCCAGACTGTGATCGAGTCGTCATATGCGACCTTTGTACTGAGGCTTGATGAAGTGAAGCAGTGTCATGGTCTGATGGTGGGTGAGACTGAGACGTAGGTGACTCAACACTTGTGACTTGCTCATTTAAAATGTGGTTCGGGGAACTAGGGTTGGGAAGAAATAAGGTGGCTAGCGGGTTGGAAGGACAAGATAACACGGGATTTTGGGAAAAATTATTGGGATCAGGACTTTGCGGATTGGGCGTGGTTGAGGTTGGCTGTGATGGGATCACTAAACATTGGTTATGGTTTGGCAAAGGTAAGGATGACAAGAGTATAGGAAATGTGAACAGAAGATCAGGGGATGTAAAACTACCTGTGTGATCAACGTTTTCCCGCAAGGATGTGAGTTCCTTAAATGGAAATGAGTCCTCATCGAATAGGACATGGCGAGACAAATAAATTCGTCTCGTGGACAGGTCCAAACATTTATACCCTTGATGATTCAGTGAGTATCCTAAAAATACACATGGTTTGGACTTGGGTTGAAGTTTATTTTGTGCATAAGGAACAAGCCAAGGAAAGCACTTACAACCAAACACTTTTAACATCTCATAGTGTGGAGGTTTTTGAAACAAGGTCTCATAGGGCGATTTATGAGACAAAACACGAGTTGGCAGTCTATTAATTAAATAGGTTGCCGTTGAACATGCATCAAACCAATATTTATTTGGAATGTGAGAGTGAGTAAGTAGGACAATACTTGTTTCAACAATATGGCGATGTTTTCTTTCTGCTAGGCCATTTTGCTCGGGATGTTTTGGACACGAAAACCTTTGAGAAATTCCATTTGTTGCAAGAAATCGTTGAAAACAGTGACTCTTGTACTCAACCTCCTTCATCACATTGAAGGGTTTTAATGGAAGTATTAAACATATTTTCAACCTTAGCTTTAAATTGAACAAATATTTCAAACACTTCAGATTTATTTTTCATGGGAAAAATCCAAGAGTACCGAGAATAATCATCCACAAACAAAACATAATATTGAAAACCTTCAATTGAAATAACGGGAGAACACCAAACATCGGAATGTAAAAGTTGTAAGGGAAATTGAGAAACAGACTCTGAAGTACTAAATGGTAACTTAGTACTTTTTCCTAAAGGACACGACGGACAAAACGTGACATCAACAGTACCATGAATTGGTACTTGTTTGTTTGAGATTAAAAACTTGATAATAGAGAATGCAGGATGACCAAGACGTGAATGCCATTTCGGAGCCGAGACTCGAATGCCTAGACATACTGAAATAGGGTTTATGAACTGTCCACCACCACCAACAAATGGGTATAAGCCATTCTCACATCTCCCGCGGAAAAGCGTCTTCCGGGTCTTGAGGTCCTTAACAAGAAAAAAAATGAGGAAAGATGAGTAAATAGCACTTGTTGTCTAATGTAAATCTGTGTGCAGAAATAATGTTGGTTGAGGCAGTGGGGCATCTTAGAATATTTGGCAGTTTAAATGAGCAAGATTGTGTTTGTAGATGATTCGAACCTATATGAGAAATAGAGAGGCCAGTATCATTACCTACACCACCCACATTCTGATTACCATTGTATTCTTTTGGGTTTACCAAATTCTGGATGTCAGGAGTCACATGAGCGTTAGCACCAGTGTCCAAAAGCCACTGTCCATTGTTCTGATGATTAAACGGAACCGGAGTTGTTACCATGGCAGTGAGCTGTTTTGTTGGAATCCTCCCTTCATAGGCTGCATTCATTCGTTGATAACAATCAAGGGCAGGATGACCTTGTTTTCCACAAATCTGGCATGTGATACGGTCTCCTGTGAGAGTGAGTTTCTCACCATTGTAGGTCGAGTTGGGCCGTTGATTATTGTTGAGAGGAAAGAACCCCCGCGGGTTGACACCACCACCACGTGCATACTGAAACGCACCACGTCCATTTCCACGAAGTCGTCCACCACGACCTCTGGCAGTGACAAAGGCATTCACCGGAGCAGCCTCCATAGGCTGAGCATTCTGTGCAGCCATGCGTCTCTCGGTGGTCAGTAGGAGGGCCTCAAGGGTAGGGTACGCGATTGGAGTATCGCGTGCTTGAGCAGCACTCACTGTCATTTCATATGTAGGGCCCAAATTGTTCAAGATAATTTGGACGAGTTCATCATCATTCACGGGGTTGCCAGCTAGGGCAAGGTTATCAGTGATCGAGTTCATGCGATCAAGATAATCAGCAATAGACATGTCACCTTTCTTAGTTTGCATCAGTTCATTGCGAAGAAACAAAATACGATTTTGGGATGTAGAAGCATACCGTTGTTCCAGAGCCTCCCAGGTGTCATGAGAGGACCTCTTGCTGGCGACGACGGACAACACAGATGGCGTAAGAGAGCCATTGATCCAGCTCAGGATCATTTGATCATGCTGCACCCATGTTGTGTAGGTTGGGTTGACAGCTGCAGCATCAGGAAGATGTTTGGGTGGACATACGATGGACCCATCAACATATCCCATCAGGTTACGACTCTTGAGTATAGGAAGGATCTGAGCCAACCACAGAGGATAGTTGGTTCTATCCAGTTTGATATTAACAACCGTTGTCATGGATGAGTAGGAATTCATGGCAGAGTTTGAAAGAGAGTTGGGAGAGGTTGCAGCGCCGTTGGTAGCGTCAGCCATGGAAAGAAAAAAAAAATTGAGGATCTAAGTCGTTAGACTGCTAGGGCTCGTATACCATGTAAAACTTAAGAACTCTCAAGGTTTTACTTCAAGTTTCATACCTCTGCCAAGAGAGGCTGCATGTATTTATATTCATATTCAACTTACATCAGAAAATGAAAACCCTATTTACAATTCATGCAGCACGTGCTGCATGTGCTTGAGGAAATATAAAAACTAATAAGTCCATCCCTATTTACAGTGCATGTTGCACATGCTGAGGGCTTATATAAAACTAACAGTTCCATGACCATCTCCATGCTGCCCGTGCCTTTCTTGTCGAAGGCCACACATGATGTGGAGATAGAAAACTGATATAAAACTTGCAGTCCATACTTCTTGGTTCCCATATTCAAAATCTAGCTCTGCTTGGATAGGAGGCTCGGACTTGGTCTAACAATAACATCTCAGCTTCCTTGAGCAATAACAAGGTAATCGTGGAGTGCGCTTTTCCTTGAGGTAATAGATCGGGCAGGAAAACTATCTAAGAAGTAAGCGGGGAGAGGGAAGACCCTGAGAGGTTACAGGTTTCTTCTGCGTAAGTAAATAAGTGTCTGCATATGAGTGACACACAATGGCAATACTCTAGGTTAATAGGTTTCCTCCCCACTCGTTTCAGTGGTTTAACCTAAGAGTGAAGAACAAAAATACCACATATAATGGAAAGAAACATTCGCTACAATATCAATTCTCATTTAAAGCATAGAACTAAAATGACATCCTTAATGACAATGATATGAGTAATACAACAACGTCTGCAAAATAGTTATTGCGTAAAACGAGGTTTCCAAGATCTTGGTGCTTTTTCATTGCCTTAAAACGCTTGATTTTATGAGGTCATGAGCAGACTGCAATGAAGAAGCACTAAGATCTTGAAATTTCGAGATATTCGCAACAACTATTAAAAACCTATAAACAAACTGATTCAAGAAATCAAGACTCGTACATAGTGGGAGTCCTAGAGTTATATTTATTAAATACAAGAAAAATATGGGAGTTCACGAGTTCGATGCACCGACTTGGTGACTCTGCTTGGCTATGGCCACTGTTAGGGTAAAATTCTTCTTAGTCTCTCTGGACCTGAAAGAAATGAATAACCTTGACTTGTCACCAATTGTATTTCTTTTAAAAAAGAAAAAAAAAGAAAAAAAAAAGTATTTTCTTTTTCTTCCTCAATGGTGTTTTTTATTTTTATTTTATTTAAATTTATTGGTTTCTGGCATCGATTAATTGATGTTGGCTATAAATATCTTTTGGTGTTTTTTTTAATGTTAATCGCGTGTGCAAAGCTTGCTTCTGTATTTCTCCCTTCAATAACAAAGCTGTTTCACTTTTCTTTTTGTTACTAATTCCTCATAAAACACTAAATTTTCTTATGCTTCGACGTATGTCTTACATGTCATTGTGTGGAAGAGAATTAGAGCATACTAAAAACAATGTGCGGAGGAGAATGACTTTTGATGAAAATGTTTTTCAAACTAATTCTTAGTAAAAATACAAATTGAATCTTGAAAAAAGCATTTCAAGTGCTTTCTACCAGAAGTACATAACTGGTTCTTTTTGGAGGCAACATTTTAAATGTTTTTCGAACTCAAAATCATTCTATTTAAAAATATTTTCAAACGGGTGATGCTCATCTGCACACGAAAAATAAATGTTGAGATTTAACTAAATTTCAATTGGCCAAATCTCAATAGTTCATTCGTGAAAAATGGTGCAGTAAAGAGAATTAGACCCAAGTCTAGTCAACCTGAGAGGACTTTGCTAACTTGTGGAATGGGCGGAGGACTTGGTATTTTCGACCCCATCGATTTCCTAGCGAGCTTCAGCTTCTTATATATGGACTTGTATGCTCACCTCAGTAGCCAGCCATCTGCAACAAAAAAAGAAAAACTTCATAAAAATAGAAATTAGGCATGCGCGTTGCCGCGAGAACCAGCTGTTTCAGGCATAATCGGATGAATAAAACACATTTAAGTCGAATAAATTCAACACAATTATGAACAAACAAAGGGATACATGAGTGAATGAGGTCGATAAGATAAGCAACTTAGCTTTTATATAGATTCAACTGAGCATGGCTTATTCAAGGGTTAAAAGAGCAGTTAAACTGATTGAAATAAAAACAGTTACAACAAATGACTTGTACTCTAGAGTTTCGTTCACCAAAATCACTTCTCATTCCTAAATTAGGCAAATTCCCAACAATAAAGGTCGTACCCAGTGCACAAGGCTCCCGCTTTACGCAGGGTCTGGGAGAGGTGAATGTCGGCTAGCCTTACCCCCATTTATGGAGAGGCTGCTCCCAAGTCTCGAACCCGAGACCTACCGCTCATGGGCGAAGGCACTTGCCATCGCACCAAGTGCGACCTCTCAAATTCCCAACAATAACAAAAAAAAAAATCTCTTGGATTTCACTCACTTAATCATAGGCATCCAATCATCCGCAACAAATGCAGAAAGAAGCAGAAATCACCTTGAGACAATACAGAGTCCACTGTTGCTACCTCGGCAGCATGACACAGTTTGGGCAACAAAGAGCATAAAAAGGAACATAATTTCCAAGCAAGCAGAGTAATTGCAGAGCTATAAGTTTGTGATGAGCTAAAACAGCTACCTGTTAAAGTACATACAAAGTTTTCTCAGAATTCAAACACAAAAAACAATCAATCAACAGACAAATTTTAAGGCTCAAAGGTACCAGCCAGGTGAAGTGCAGTGAATTCAAAGTTGGCGCAGGATAGAAGGACCTTGTTTCAGAAAGGAAAGATGTGATCGCCTTTGTGATGTTTACTTTTGTGCTTATCCTTTGTCTTCTTTTCTGAGGCAAAATATGTCAATGTGATAAGTAATTTCCCATAAAGAATCTCATCCTCAATAGGCTAAAAAAACTACAATGGTTAGTCAAATAATGTACTTTCATGTAGTTAATCTCCTAGGTTTGTGTTCACTTTTTCAATATCAAAACAACTCGATGAAACAATGTTTTCCCATACTCTACAAACACCGAATGTGCCCGATAAACCACTAACAATGCCATTACTCTAATTCGACTGCAGAGTGAGAGTTAAGAAAAGAAGATACTCACAGCCCAAAACGGATGACATCACCAACACGTAAATCCACATAAACCTTTTTGTTCACCTGATTATTAGGCAAGAGAAAACCATTAGGAACAATCAAGAGCCTTTGTATAGCTTCTGTCTCTGTACCAAGAGGAACGACTTACATGCTTCTGTCTCTGTACTACATGCAATGAAGGTATAGCTTGGATACCGGACTTGCTCCTAGCTTGAGCTGTTTCCAAAGAAGGAAAATTTAACATTATTTTGTAATAAATTGCAGAGTGCCTTGCACAGCTCTCCATGCTGCAGAAGAAAATAAAAACAACGAACCAATGATGCACGATGATAAAATCGTGGGACAAAATCAAAAGGTAATATCCAGAGAACTCGTGGTGACACTATTGACCTATAGTGTGCAGACTGAATTGCCCTTCAATTCTTATCAATCATAAACAAAAATCTTTTAAACGACAACCATACAGAAAATGCAGCTCGTACATCACAGACAACAACACATGCATGACTATTCAATCAGTACCCGCATCCAAAACTGTACATGCATGAATATTTTTCCATTCCAGCTAGTACATCACAGACAACCATACAGGAAATACAGAGATGAAAAAAGAAGCTGAGTCCAGTAGATCATGCATTGATTTGTACGTAAGACAACTTCGAAACATTAACCGCAATGAAGCAAAACAAAAAAGTACTACTGCACACCACAGATTGGCCAAAAAAACGCATAAGATCAGGAGAATTTGCATATGCAAAGAACATTGACATCCTGATAAAACAAAACATACAAATAGAATTAATATTACCAGCCGAATCAAGATTACAAACCACAGACATTAGCAACAAAAACCTCAAAACCAATTCCTCAGACACTCCAAAAAAACAACTCAAAATCCATTAAAAGTACAAAAATCACATATTTCCATCTATGCCTGCATGTATTTTCGGGATCAAAAATTCAAAACAAAGTAAAATACCACTGGGTTTGTCGCTGAGATTGATTAAGTGCAATTTGTAGGGCACTTTCTTCTCCTCCAAGGTCAGAAGAACCCTTTGGCTGAAAGGGCCTGTCAGAAACGAAAGATGGAAAATTTTAGTAGTAACAAAAGAAGCAATGCAAAACAGTCTCTAAGAACCAAGTTAGCATCCATAGGCACAACCCAACAGTCTCAAGAATTTTGTTCCAAGTATAGTCTACCTTTCATTTTCAAAATAAAACATCTTCATCTACCAGGTAAATGATAACATAAAGTATCATTTTCAATCTACAGAATTTTGTAATCGAACCCATATATATATATATATATATATATATATATATATGGAGAAAAATCAACTATTTCCCTAGTACTAACAAAATTAGTAGTGTATATACGTAATATATATATGTAAGTACACTTTTGGATTTGAAGAATTTCTCCTTGGATAATAAAATTGCAGGGTAAAACATACTTGAACCATTTCACTGACGAAGTTGAAACCTCCAGGTCCATAATGGATTCACTAATAACCTGTCTAGTTTTGGTATGAAGGAAGAAGAATATGAACATTATGTAAGATCATAGCATTAAGTTTTCTCTATTAAGTTTGGAAATATATGTACACGGGTATGTATTTATGAATGTATGTATCAGACCAGTTGTCCAGCGCAAGCAAAGGCAATGCCACCACAGGTTACAGATACAATAACGACCACCAAATCTGATATTAATCTACAATTTGGCCAGACGGGTATTTTGCTACCAAGGCAAAATTCTCAATAGCCCAAGCATCAGCCTATCATATGAAGAAATATTCATAAGGGAAAAGGTAAGCTTAAACAGGATTTCATATGTATGAACTCACTCTTTGATACTTAATTACTCGTCCTATTACCAAATAGCTATTGGAAATGGTTGAGTTATAAAACTTGACTATAAACAGGCCCGACTCTTATCAAATAGCTCTCAAAAATTCGATATGTAAAAACTGAACAAAAAAATAGATCCCAAATCTTATCCAACAACGAACAATGAACCAAAGTTACATGAACAAAAACAATACCAACATTTCAAGCTGTACAAAACTAAACCCATTCAGGAAAGCACAAAGTCATACATCCAATCCTGTCCCATTCAAAATTCCAATACTCGATTCTAAAGAATAAAAAGAACAATAGCATTCAAAATCAATAATTGTAAAGAATACCAACGGCAATAGCATTCAAAATCAATAGTTCGCAAGTCTCCAACCTGCATAGCAAAATGCAAAGAGAGCAAAAGTCTCCAACTCTCCAACCAACATAACAAAATGTCAAAAATCAAAATGCCTTAATGGCATTAGTACAACACAAAGTTCAAAATATTAGCAATAAATTTAAAAATGCCTTATCTAATATCATTGAGGGCATAAGTTGGAAGAGAAGACAAAAAACGAAAAGGGGTTGATGCAGGCAGTGTAAAAAGCATAAGAGAGGAAAGATACCCAAAACCAATCACAAATTATAGTGAAAATTCGTGTTATAGCAACCCTAAATTCAAAAAATTTCTCTCGTTTTCCATATTTTCTCATCAAACAAACCACATATTCATATAAAATCAGAAAAGTAAAATTACCAATAGTAGCATGCTCTGGGGCTCGTATGACGGCGTTCCTTCGCCCACAGCGGTGTCGAGATTGCTTTCTGCAGCAAGGATTACAAAGGAAGTCCGTAAAATTCATCGACAACTGCAAGAAAACAAAACCACCAAAAGTCAGAGATTTCCAAAACCGAAAAGAAATGAGAGAGACAGAGAGAGAGAGAGATTGGAGTACCGTAAGTGCATAAACATATTGGAAAAACAATTGCACGGCAATTACTACAACTTGAATCAAAATTCCACTGTTCATTACACATTGCTTTGGAATTGTGTAAGTAGAGAAAGAATTGGAGTTCTTAAAGAGTGTTGGCGAACTGAATATCAGATTCGAGCGCCTTGAGAGATTCATTGAAGGATTTCGTTCAACGTTTATCAAATGTCAGTAAATTCTGTAATGTACATGGAAAAATCTAGAAATATTGAGATGAACAAAAATAAGTGAATCAAACGACTGTAATTTTGAAATATCATCTATTAGCTAAAACGACATTTTTCCATCAAAATAACATAACCCCAAAGAAAAAATGGAAATTGGGAACGGCCCATAATCTGAAAGGTCGTACCCAGTGCACAAGGCTCCCGCTTTACGCAGGGTCTGGGAGAGGTGAATGTCGGCTAGCCTTACCCCCATAATCTGAAAATTTACAAAAATTAACAGAAACGGATGAAATATGAGAGAAAGAATTGGAGTTCTTACAAAGTGTCAATGAAATTTTAGAAGAAGAACTCGATTTTCCTGATCGTTTTTACTCTTTTCTCATCCCTCCCATAAAAAATCCTAAACACTCATCACTCCACCCACCTCAAATCCTCTCTCTGAAAATAGCAAAAATATATGACCCTTTCTCTCTCTGTAATCTGAAGAAAAATCTGATCAAAATTTATAAAATTAGTTTTTGGTTTTGTAAAAGTGTGGACAGTTAGAAGGGAATTTGTAGAGAGAAGAAGGGTAACGTTTTCAGTAGATGGGAAGCAAAGCCATATATGTAGCTCGGTTCGTTTAGAACCAACGATCATCCACACAAAACTTTGACTTACACAAAAACCGATTCAAAAAACCAAAACAGATACCCAAAATTATAACCTGTTGAGCCCAACTACTGGAAGCCCGAGCCCAATACTCTCTCTTGCGAGTGGGCCGTACCTGATCCATCTTTTGGTCCATATAGAGCTAGGGTTACTTATCTTCAGAATATAAATATGTAATATTGTGGACTGAGAGGAGGAATGAATGACTGAATGAAACTTTCTACTTTTTCCCTTATTCTTCTTTCCTTATCTCCTTCAATTTCTGCACTGTTTTCTATTGAATCTAACTTCTCAAGACACCCGAGCCCATTAGTCGTATCAACTGGTATCAGAGCCCGTCGATTCGATGGGCAAAAACCCGCATACCGCCACCTCCGACCCTGACGCCGCCGCTGCAGCGGCTGATGTGCGCCAGGAGCACCTGCGAACACAAGTCGACGACTTGGGTGACTCCGTAGCCGCACTGGAATCCCAACATACCAACCTGCAAAAATCTATGGAGTCCCTGAACAACGCAAACACTACCTTTCAGAATACTATGACTTCACAATTTGTAGCCTTCCAATCTCTCATGTTAGAAGAGCTCCGCCTCATCAAATCGGGATTTCCACCTCCCACCCTCGCCCAAACAGCCCATCCACACCCACCCAACCCGTCACCCTCCCATCCCCACCCTCGCCCTCCGCCAGCTTCTTTTACCACCACCCAAACCTCAAACCCGACCCCACCCCCTTCATTTCGATCCCTATTCGCCAATACCAGTGCTCAATCTTCGAGCCTCGCCCATCTTCCTACCTACCTCACCACCACCCTACCCGCTCCCCTTCCAACTACTATGGCCACCCGCCCCAACCCCTATCATTGTGGGTCTCCATCCCCTTTCACGCCACACACCCCGTCCTTTTTTTCCGCACACTCCCAGTCTTTCCACCTAAGCCCATCTACGACTGCGGCCCCATTTCCACCCAACCCCTCACATACCACCCAACTCACCTTACCATCACCCCCATTCCCACCTTAAATCCATAAAAATGGAACTGCCACGATTCAATGGCGAAGATCCCTACGGCTGGTTAGCCATGGCAGAACGCTACCTCGACTACTATGAGGTACCCCCAAATCAGTGGGTTCTCGTGGCTGCGTGCAATTTTGGGGCTGATGCCTCCATCTGGATGAGAGGATTTGAGCAACGATACGGTCGAGACAACTGGAGCCTCTTTGTGGATATGTTGTTCCAACGTTTCGGGGGAGGTGACCGTGCCAACATCGAATCCCAGCTCACTCATATCCAGCAAAAATCTTCAGTGGAGGATTATTTGGCAGATTTCACACGGCTCTCTTGGCGAGTAACCGACTGGACGGAAAACCAACTGAAACACGTGTTTTTCGGAGGTCTGAAAGACGACATTCGCCTCGACGTCCTGGCCCGCGAACTAGATTCACTACACCACGCTAAAAAATTGGCCAAAATCTTCGAAACCAAACTTCATGCCAAACGTTCCACTCGACCACAATTTCCACGGCCTTACCTATCCACTACCACCAACCCACACACCTCCACCCACACTTCTTCCCAAACAACCACACCACGACCCCCAACCTTGGCCAGTGCACCCTTCAAACGCCTCACTCCGGCGGTAGTGCAAGACAAAAGAAGGAAAATGAGTGTTTCAGCTGTAATGAACCTTACACCCCCACCCACAAATGTAAAACACCCACCTTGCTCTTGCTAGACACCACTCAAACCGAGGAGACTCCCCAAAGTATCACGACTGCCAAGAGGACCCTAGTCCCGATGCCGACCCCACATGTCACATGCTGGAACTGTTCTCGATTCCGGGTATCGGTATTGGCAAACCAATGAAATTGCATGGCTCCATTGCATCCAAAGCCGTCACCATCCTAATTGACTCTGGGGCCGCCTGCAACTTTCTGCACCCCCACGTGGCTGACCAACTAGGCCTTCCAGTGCAAACCATCCCTGCTGTCAAATTCACAACAGCCTCCCAAGACCGTTATTCCTCCAAACGCGTCTCGGATATCGCACTCCAAATACAAGACTACACATTTCATGGGTCTTTTCTCTTGTTAGACGTGCCAGGATGTGATCTTATTTTGGGAGCCGAATGGTTAGAATCCTTAGGATTTATTGGCTGGCATTTCAAACAGAAAACAATGGTATTCTCAGTGGATGGACAAACCTACACCTTACAAGGTTTGACCCCGTCGACCTCTGTGTTCCCAGAGTGCAACCCCATACACCACTTATTCAACAACCCATTCAATCTCCTAGCATCCATACCCACTCCCACCACCTACCTTAACCCATCCACCGAAACCCACCCGGCTATTTCCTCACTACTCAATCAGTACCAACACATTTTCACACCACCTTTCGGCCTTCCACCAGAAAGACCCATCGACCACAAAATTCCCCTACTACCAAACACCAACCCCATCAATGTTAGAACATGTAGATACCCCCACTACCAAAAAGCTGAAATAGAAAAACAAGTGCAGGAATTTTTAAACTCAGGTGTCATCCGCCCAAGTTCAAGTCCTTTCTCTTCCCCAGTTCTTCTTGTTAAGAAGAAGGATGATACATGGCGTCTTTGTATTGATTATAGAGCCCTGAATGCAGCAACTATCAAAGATCGTTTCCTGATACCTGTCGTGGACGAACTTCTTGATGAATTACATGGAGCAACAATCTTTTCAAAGCTCGACCTCCGATCTGGTTACCATCAAATCCGCATGAACGCTGCCGACATTGCAAAGACAGCTTTCCGCACCCATGAAGGCCACTACGAGTTCACGGTAATGCCATTTGGCTTATCAAATGCACCTGCCACATTTCAATCCTTAATGAATTCTATCTTCCGCCCTTACTTACGAAAATTTGTCTTAGTTTTTTTTATGACATACTTGTGTATACTACAAAAGGGGGCTATAGTGTCGGAGGGTGGTGTCGCTTTAATCTAATATAGTGACGGATTAGGCAGTTGCGACACTAACTGAACATGACGTCGGATTTACTATCGCTTATAAGCGTTATTAAATGTTTATGTCGCTTTTAAACCGACGTAAACATATATTTTAATAATTTTTAAATACTAGTGTCGCTTTTAAACCGACGTAAACATTATTTTAATAATTTTTAAATACTAGTGTCGCTTTTAAGCGACATAAAGAATGTATATATATATATTAAATTATATATATATTAAATTAAATTTTATATCTCTAAAAACTATAATAATTATATATATATATATATTAAATTAAATTTTAAAAAATTGGTAATCATTGGATTGGCTTAAATATACATACGATTCAATTTCTTAAGTGTTATACATACAAAATAAATAAATTTAAATCTATTTAATATATATATATATATATATACACACCATTGAACTTGATTGGATACGAATTCTATGAAACTAATTTCGACAGTTATAAACGAAAAATCACGATTTAACGGTTATTTTAACTCCGATTTTGATGATTTTTTACATCTACACTCCTTGACCCTATATGAATACAATGAATGGATTTGATCTTCAAATTAAAATATTTACACAAGTGGATACCACAAAATCTTATGTTATACTTAATGAAAGTATAAATAAACTCTAAGTGTTAGTCAATCTATTGTTTTGATGGGATACAAATTCTCCGAAACTAATTTCAACGATCCCAACCGTCAAACTTGTTTGCATATGCTTCGAGATCACATCAGCAAAAAATCACAAAAAACAAACATTCAGAGATCAAGTAACGGGACAAAGCTTTTCGACGGTTATAAACGAAAAATCACGATTTAACGGTTATTTTAACTCCGATTTTGATGATTTTTTACAGCTACATTCCTTGACCCTATATGAATAGAATGAATGAATTCGATCTTCAATTTAAAATATTTACACAAGTGGATACCACAAAATCTTATGTTATACTTAATGAAAGTATAAATAAACTCTAAGTGTTAGTCAATCTATTGTTTTGATGGGATACGAATTCTCCGAAACTAATTTCAACGATCCCAACCGTCAAACT